GGGTTTCTAGGCAGCCTTGGGGACCAGACTGTTAAGAGTCCACAGAACTCAAGGTATAGCAAGTTCTTCCAGCATTGTTAGCGCCCCTGGGGAAGGAGCAGGGCAGAGGCGGTCCAGATGCTGGGCTCAACTGGATGGGTTTGGATACAAGGGTAAGTAGACAAGAGTGGGTAGCAGGGGCTGCAGGACAGAGAAGAAAAGTGGCCACCCCAGTCACATGACACCCTCGCCTTCATTGAACAGGCCACAGTCATTCTGTATACGAGATAGATTCTGTCTTCAACAAAGAAAGTGGCCCCCTGAAGATGAGGTAATAATGGTAACAGCTGGGGTGTGACGGACCAGAAACAAGGTTCAAATTCAGCCCCACTATTATTACTTCTGAGATTAACCTTTTTTATCTATAAAATATGAAAAACTCATGCTTTGCAGAGCTTATCAGGGTGAAATGAGAGGATTAAGATGTATGTCTCTGAAAAGCTCTATTAGGCCCAAGGCCCACAATTCAATATCTTAACTACACATTTAATATGTGTCTGGTGCATAGTTGGTGCTCAGTAAATATATTTCCTTCATTCTATTTTAACACTATTAGTCAAAGCAGAGTCCCTGAGCTAAGCTCTCCTGAGATGTTTGTGTTCATTTCCAGTCAGTTCTGGACAATAGTGAGACCAGAACACTGATGATTCATCCCTTCATAGTCTTTCACTGAGCCAAGTTAAGCCTTTTCTTGACTTACTGATTTCAGGTAAGTATGGAGAATGAACCCTAGAATTACAGAGGATCAGGCCCTCATTACTGCCCATACCACTAAGAGACAGGCGAGCTGGTACACATCAGCTTTCTGTGACTGTAACAAATACCCAGGCGTTTCAGAGGGGTTGTCTTTGGGCCTGAGTAGGGACAGAACATCACGTCAGGAGTATACAACAGAAAAAGCACTTCCCTCATAGCAGATGGGAAACAAAGAACGCGAGAAGTGTTAAGATCCAACTATTCCCTTCAAAGGGATGCCTTCAGTGACCTAACTGCCTCCCACGGGGCCCTATCTCTTCAAGCTTCCATCATTTCCTGCTGTCATCACAGACCTGTGACCAAGACTTTGACATGTGGGCCATTGGGGGGCACCTTTATAACCAGAGCACCTCACTTGTTGAAGCTTGAAGAGAATCCCTGGTGAGATGTGGAGAAGTTCCCTCTTCAACAGAGACAAAGATGGACCCCAAGGCAGCAGAGAGGGTACTCTTTCTTCACCAGACACCTGAGATCCAGGATCACAAAGGACAGAGTCTCTCTAGAGACAAAGGAAGTTGTTACGGAGCCAGTGCTACTGTTTCTGGGACATCTGGGACAGAGAACACAGGCTGAACAACTGTGGACAGCCTGACCAGCCTGTAGGAGGTAATCTCACTGCTGTTAGAAGCGTTCACCCCAAACACTAGAGCCCAGAGTTCTAAAGAAAAGCCTGGAGCTAAGACAGACCTCCAGCAGGCAAGAAGCAGAGGCCAGGTGGGTTAATAACTTCAAATTCAACTCCAAGGGACACATCTATAGGGAGATGGAACTCGGAACTCTTCCCCTCTTTCTTTTAGAAGGAGAACCCCTAAGATTTATGTGGGCATCTTTAACTGGTACAGCTGCTCAGACTCTCCTGTGGTGGACATGTGCCCAGGTATTGGCCAATGGGATATGAAAGGATTGTCCATCTTCAGGAGGCTGTCTGCTCCTATTCCCTCCTCTTCTTACAGGCAGGGACAGAAGGAAAAAGAGTGACCAGGGATCCGGAAGGTGGAAGGAACATGGCCCCCGGATGGCCCGGAGGACCAGCGTTGCTACCCTCCCCTGCACTGCCAGCTACCTCTTAACCCTTAGGTGAAAGGTGAATCGTCTTCTATCCCCTCTGAGAAAACCCCGTTTTAAGAACTTTGGAGCCGGGCATTGGTGGGGCACACCTTTAATACCAGCACTCGGGAGGCAGAGGCAGGCAGATCTCTGTGAGTTCTAGGCCAGCTGGTCTACAGAGCAAGTTCCAGGGAAGCCTCCAAAACAATACAGAGAAACCCTGTCTCAGAAAAAACAACAACAACAACAAAAAACAAACAAACAAACAAAAACCTTTGGGTTACAGCTTAGTCTATACCTGTCTTAGTCCCTCCTCTAATATCGTCTTTCCCCAAAGTACAGATGAAGTTAGCGCTGAACAGTATTTACTGAAAGCCTACCCTGTGCCAGGCATTGTTCTAAATATTTCACACATGCTATATCATTTGATCCACACCTACCTCCCAAATGGGGGCTTTTTCTTATTTTACAGCAAAGGGGATGTGCACAGAGAGATGCCATACTCCAACTGAAGACTCACCATTATTGGGTGACCAAACCTGACACCTAACCCGTGTACCTTGGAATAAGATGGCATCCTCATCCACTGTGTTTCAGAGCATCTCTTTGTGCAGGTCCACGCAGTCAGAAAGACACAGTTCAGAGACAGCAAGAGGGTTCTGCAGGTAAAGGCACTTGCCAACTAAGCCTACTACTCAGTCCAATCCCAGAACATACAGAAAGGTACACGGAGAGGACCAGCTCCACAAAGTTGTCCCCTGACCTCCACAAACACATGGCACATGTATGCACACCTACAACGAATTAAGCTAAAAATTTTTTAGCTGGGCAGTGGTGGCACACCACAGCACTTGGGAGGCAGAGGCAGGCAGATCGCTGTGAATTTGAGACCAGCCTGGTCTATAAGAGCTAGTTCCAGGACAGCCTCCAAAGCCACAGAGAAACCCTGTCTTGAAAAACAAAAACAAAACAAAACAAACAAAAATTTTAAAACGCTCTCAGTTTTCCAGAGACCTGTGCCTGGATGTTAACCACTGCAAGTCATTTAGTGTCTCTGTAAGTTATGTGAGAAGGACCGAGCTACTGGCCTCGTGGAAGGATAAAATGGATTTACGAATGTTGAAGAAAAGCTTTGAAAGCTATAAAGCGAGACACGAGGGATAAGCCGCCTTAAGGCAGGCTGGAAAATCCTTAAAACCCAAATAACAAAATGCACTCGATTTTTTAAAATGCAAATACCATCTAGCAATTTGGCAGATACCCTAGAAAGGCTGTGAAATCTGTCAAGGAGAGGGGTACATTTGGCTTTGTACATCTGTCATCCTTAACTGAAGGTGGGAGATGCAATTGAAATTAACTGGAAGGGTTCAGACCTATGTACCTGGTGGGTGCTTGCATGTGCACAGCACGAGCGCGCGTGCGCACGCACACACACACACACACACACACACACACACACACACACACACACGCAGATTCTCAATAGAAAAGAATCCTTATTAGAACGTCCAGGAACAGCAGAGACCTGCCATATCCATGGGAACATGGCAGGTGCAGAAACAGGTGTGACACAAGGGATTTAAAAGTTCCCGATTCAAGTGAGCCCAGGAGCCCTGTGTTGGCAGATCTTTCAGACACGCCTGTGAAATTCTCCAAATTCCTCATTTGCTCATATGTACACATCATGCCAGGTCAAGAGGCACCAGCTGACCTCCTGGAATTCAGTTCCCAAGCCAGAAGAAACAGCTGATTCTTTTAGGTTGTGACTATGTGGGTCACTAGTGAAGGTTTGGTTCCCAGGGCAACAGTGTTCAGGGTGGGGCCTTTGGGAGGGCATCATGTGGGCTCTGACCTCATCAGTGGGCTTTTGGGAGGGGGTGGAAACCACAGAAAGTGGGGTCACTTTGGAGGAAGCCGGTAGTTGAGGGATGCTCAGGAGGGGAACTTTTGTTTTTAGCCCCTCCCTCTCTTTCTCTCTTTGCTTCCTGGCTGCTATGAGTTGAGCTGCTTTCTCTCTTTGCTTCCTGGCTGCTATGAGTTGAGCTGCTTTCCTCCATCACGTGCTTCAGTCAGGTCAAAGGACTATGGACTGAATGAAACCTCTGAAATCAGACGCCCAAATTAACTTGTCTTCCTTAAGTCTCGTCTCAAGTGTCTTGTCATAACAATGGAAAGATAATACAAACACTCTTCACCTTAAATATGTACAGGCCTAGTTTAGCTTTCAGTTAATTCCGCCCTGGCTGTCTTTCTGCCTCAGTTTCCCTCTGTCCTTCTAGCAGAGGCTGTTCTCCTTCTGTTTCTTGCTCCTGGCTTTAGTTCCCTATCCTTTGACAGAAGTCCCTCCCCTCCATGCCAGTTATTGGAGGCACACAGCTCCCTGTCACTGTAATCTCCACTTGCTGTCCTCCCTAGCACAGGGGTGGTTTTTCCATACATGCTCATGAAGTCAAGTGGATGACTGCCACATCTAGGTTAGTCACCCAGAAAGGAAGAAGACAGCAGACAGGCACGGACATCCCGTGACTCTCCAAAGTCCCAGGGCTCTCTGCCTCCCTCACTGCCTACACACGGGTTTGAAGCATGCTGCCAAGTCAGCCTTGGCTCCCCCGATGGGGACAGAAGCAAGCTGACTCTCAGTGTGGCTTTGTCTCACCTGCAGCTCCCATTCCCCAAAGGCAGAGAGGGAGGGACCTCTGAGCCCTATGCTTATCTGGCCAACAATCCTAGGTCTGTATTGGCCTGGACCGTCCTCCCCTCGTGCCACACCTGAAGTCACTGCCATGAGCTTTGTTCTCTCCTCCCTCCCTAGCAGGTTCTGGCCCAAAGTTGGCAGATGCCCAAAGCCAATGATTTCAGTTCCCCTTCTTTTCCCTCACGTGCTCTTGGGGTTCTCAAAGACGGGAAGATGCCTTGAAAGGCTATCCCAGGAAGGAGGAGAATCATTCCCACAACTCATGGTCCCAGGTGTCATGAGCTAAGACTTGACTTTCCAAGGGGAGGCCCAGATGGATTCCAGCAGAAAGACTGTTAATTGATTTTGGCCTGCAGCCCCCTGGAGCAGTGTCCATAAACCCTTGGACTCCTGGGGAGGGTAGGAAGGGGTGTGTGGTCATTGCCTAGGGCAGAGAACTATGTTGTGTTCCCTGCTGACTTACTGTTGGTTTGAGCCGTCTGGACTAGAGTGACACACAATTCTTCCCTTTGTTTCCTCAGCCTTGCAGAATGAGCTTCCTTCTGGAAGGCATAAAGATCCCTTTTCTTCAACTCACAGGAGCGTCAGGGGCTGCCTGCTGCCGATGCCACTGCCACACTGGCTTGTTCTGTCCAGCTCAGGCTCCGTCTACATGCCCAGGCCAGCCCCAGGCACCACTGCTACAGCTTCGCTCCTCCAGCCAATGCTTGCAAGGCCTGTACTGGGGTGGTGGCTTTCATGGCAGAATGCCAGCCACGGTTCTTAAAGCCACAGAGTTGCTGGTGGCTGGAAGAACCCTCCAAGGGCAGTTCCCTTTGCAGGAGTTCCCTGCCTTCCCTAGGCATCAGGGAAGCATAAAGCAGGGACATGGCCACCATCACCCACAAGAATGAAAAATCCTGACGTAGCAGGGTAGCAGCCCCAGAAATTCTAATGCCACGGACCTTGGGGCACATGCTGTATGCACTGAGGAGTTTCACAGCTACCAGGGTGATTCCAATGTGAAGCCAGACTCTGGCATTGCCATCTGTGCTGTCCCAATGTCAGACGGCACTGAGTCATTTGGGGAACAGGTGAGAATGCAGGACCCAATCTAGGAGGCAGGCTCCTACAGATCATGGCTACTGGGCCTGGGGCTGTGTTGGGTTGGACAGGGCTGGGTGTGAAACCTGGGTGAGTTGCTCTCCAGCGTTCAGTGTTCTACTCACTCACCTGAGGCTTAACTGAGATAACAGGAGCACAATGCTAGGCCATTCATCTCTAGCACTTGGAAAGTGCTCAAATAGCAGGGACTGCAATTTTGTTTTGTTTTGGTTTGTTTGTTTTTGTTTGTTTGTTTTTGGATGCCTCCTGCAAGGGAAGAACAGGCTCTGCTCTCTCTTGGTTCAAAGCTATGAGGACTTCCCTTCAGACCCAGCATTAATCCTAACGATGCAAGGCTCTTCAGCAGATGGTCCCAGCCTGCCCAGCGGCTTTGCCTTCACTATCTCTCTTGAGCCTCATATCCTGCCCCAGCACAAGTCATACGCTAAAGCGCATTGCAGGTCCTTTCAGTGCCAGACTTGGCGTGTCTCTTCCTGGGTCCTGTTTCCACTCTTTTCCTCTGTCTGGTTAACTTCTCCTCCTCCTGGGGGGTTGGCACAGGTGGTGTCCCTTGCCCTTTGTTATGTTAAGACAGTGAGAAGATACATCTGTACCCCCTAAACAGACTATCACTGGATGACGACTCAGCTGGCACCTTGGTCTTAGCCTTCCAAGTCTCTAGAACTGTGAGAAATAAATTTCTGCTGTTTACAAGCCATCCAGCTTGTGGTATTTTGTCATAGTAACCTGAATAAACAAAGACAAAGGCATCGTGTCAAGTGGAATTAGCTAGTGAAATAAGGAGACAGAGTTAGAATGCTACCTGTAATGAGGTAGCTGTATCAGGCAAAAGTCAGTGGGACAAAGTAAACCAGTGGACAGCAGGAGGTGGATAAGGAAAATGCTGAGTTACCACTTAATGGGCACAGAGCTTCAGGTGGGGAGGATGGAAGGGTCTGGAAGTGGAGGTGGTGATGGTTGTAAAAGACTATGGATGAACCTAATGCCACTAAGCCGCCATCATCTGAAAACATTTGATTAGATACCTAACTTGTAAGAACACTCCCAACCTGTACCTCTCAGGAGAAGACAATTTGCAAAAAGCAAATATCCGAGGCCTGAGGCATGCCCTTTCCATTTGTGTCCAGGCCCAAAGATGAGATTCAGAAACCCAGAAAGCAAAACTGTGTGGCTGACCAGAGAGGCAAAGAATGCCAAGCATTTGTAGTTGGATTCTTTGGGGCATGCGATGGAGGCAAAAGTGCTGAGAGAGAAAAATAGCTCAACACTCAGTGTCAGGATACACTCTGCAAGAGAAGCAATTGCTGAAGTCCAAAGAGTGCAGAGGGACAAGCAAACTCGTCTAGAAGTGTCCCTGGAAAAGATGGATAAGCATTGAAATTTGGTAACAGCTGCATGCTCTCCATTTAAAGGCGATTAGAAGGACTCAATGGGTGATAGGAATTCAAGACTTTTTTTTTCTCTCAAGGGTGTTTCTCAACCTAATGAGATAGGAACCTTCTAGAAGCAGTCATCTTTGCCTCTGGTGTTCTGGGCTGAAAGTTTGCTTCCCTCCAAATTCCTATGTTGAAATCTTCACTAATATTCAATGCAATGGGATCTGGGGGAAGTTCTTAGGGTTAGATGAGGTCATGAGGGCAAGCCCTTCTCTGCCGGTGTTAGTACCTTTATGAGATGAAATAGCAGAGAGCTTCCCTTCTCTGCCATATGAACACCGCCACCACCACCAGGCCTGCTGCCTACTACATACCGCGACCTTCCCCTGTCTCCAGGCTTTCCCAACTAGCAGTCAATACCTCCAGTGATAGTGCAACTGTAGGACCAAAGCAGAGGGCAGGGCAGGGCTTCCTGTACCCGCCCTGTAAACCTTCCTGCTTTCCCGGTGCCTGCTGGCACCTGCCAGCCACTCACCCCTACATGCTAGCCCCACTTTCCTCTGGGACTTGTAGAATGGCTAAGCAGCAGCGTGTCCCCGGTCCTGGGAATACAGCAGCTCTTGAGTCCCTTCTGATGTCAGAGCCGAGGAGATAGTGGTTCCTGCTGGAACAGCATCCACCCGCTGGGGTGTTTGTACAAGTAAGCTTGTATGCAAGGGACCCAGAGTTTGCCATGTTCAAAAGTTCCCTTCTTAGCCACAAATAGTGCCACTGTCACAGTGGCACTTCCTGTTTTTCACAAATTAGTCATAGTAAAAACAGAAGGAGGCAAGAGGCTGGCGGTTACTGAGTCTGGCTGCTGCCGGAGAATGCTGAGTTCTACATGCTGCAGGGCAGGCAGAGACCTGAACTAGGCAGGGGGCAGCCAGCTTCCTTCTGTACCGGCCGCTTCTGGCCGGGTGCCGCGGGCTCAGCCTGCTTAGTCTATTTCCTGACCGCCCTTTGCTCTCTGCCTCTTCCCCCAGCTCTCCACGGCCTCCACGCCACTCATCCCCAAATGGCGTTTCGCTTGTATCATTTATTTGCTTCAGATCCCTCAGTGGCCTTTGTGCTGACCACAGAGTCAAGTCCGAAGACTCAGCCAGCCCTTCCTCCAGGGACTCTGGCCATGTCTGCACAAGCTCGCTTCCCAGGGCCAAGGCTAGGGTGAGCCTCATACAAAATGTAAGAGGGCACCAAACAGTTCAGTAACCACACGTAATACGGCTAAGTTTTTAAAAGTCAAAGCTCATACAAAAAGTCCCATGGTGATCCTGTAACAAAATTAGCATTATCTGCTCCCTTCATCTACCCTCCTGGCTGGTCTAGCCTGGACTTCCTTCTCAGATGGTACAAACTCCTCTCATACACCTTGACCCCGTGACCTCCTAAGCCCCCCCCCACCCAGGTCCCGGACCTTGCTCACACAGACCTTTCTGTCTCTTGGCTCCATTCATTTCATAGCGTTTCTTGCCTTTCCTCTCTGGGTTTCTGATTCATGGTGTCCTTTGAGGGCTTCCGAAGTCTTTTAGAAGTAGCAGAGAGGTTGGGGTGTGACTCAGTAACAGAATAGATGGTTAGCCTGATTCCCTGCACAGCAAGGGAGAAAAAGGAAAACAAGGGAGGAAGAAAGAATGGCTAGAAATAGCAGATGTCTGGGATGGGGGAGGGTCAGCAGGGGACATGGGATGGAGGGGGAGGGAGCTGGGATTGATATGTAAAATAAGATGTGTAAATTTAAATAGAAATTTACAAATAAATTTTTAAAAAGACATAGTGGATGTCAGGGTTGGGGTGGAGTGCTTGCTTACCATGCATGAAGCCCAGCATTTGACTCTCACCACCACATAAACTGTGTCTGGTAGTGCACACATGCAATCCAAGCTCCGGGGAGGTAGAGGTAGGAGGAGAAGAAGTTCGAGCTCATCCTTTGCTATATAGTGAACTTGAAGTCAATATGGGCTCTCGTCTCAAAATAATCAAATACCAGATGCATACTTCCTGACAGAGGCTTGCCCTGGCCTCCCTGTGTGAAGTTGCTCCCTGGACTCTGTCACCCTGACCCCAAAGAGACTTCTCTTGTCCCTGCTTCAGTTTCTGATGGCCCTTACTACCATCAGATGTGCGTTTCGATTTCTTATTAGCTGCTGTCCATCTCTCCAGTTGGAATCTGAGCTTCTGTATTTCCATGGCTGAGTTCTAGAATCTACAAGCTCAGGAAAACAGTTGTCAAGCTGAATTTCTTCAAGACAATTCTTAGGTACAATCTCAGTCTAGAAAAGGCAAGTGGAGGACCAGTGAGATAGCTCAGCAGGTAATGGCATTGCCACCAAGACTGAAAACCTGAGTCCAGTCCCAGGACAGCACCCTGGCATATGTGTGTACACATATATATGTAAAATGCATAAGCAAGTGTAATTAAAATAATTTTAAAATAAAGTTCTTGATGAGTATCATATAATTTAAACGTACAAAAGTATGTGATTACTTAGGCTGTCAACTGAAGACATTTGTTTGTGTTATATTTTGAGACAGGGTCTCACTATGTAGCCATTGGCTGGTCTGTACCTCACTATGTAGGCCAGGGTGGCCTTGAAATCCCAGAGATTGTTTTGCCCCTGTTTTATGAATGCTGCTATTAGAGATGTGTGCTGCTGTATCTGGACTCATTTTGGTTTGGTTGGATGTCAAAATATGAAAACTGATGCTATGTATACTTATGGCCAACAAACGCCATCATTCACTTTGAATTTTTGTCTTCCTCCCTCCCTTCCTCCCTCCCTCCCTTCCTTCCTTCCTCCCTCCCTCCCTCCCTTCCTTCCTTCCTTCCTTCCTTCCTTCCTTCCTCCCTCCCCTCTTTCTGTGTGTGTTCCCATTTTGGGCAGGGAGTACGGAGGACAGCCTCTTGAGTGCCATTCCTCGAATGTCATTCACGTTATTTATAAAGACAGGGTGTCTCAGTTGGGTGTGGTAAAGCACATTTGTAATCCCAGCACTTGGGGAGCAGAGGCAGGTGGATCTCTGTAAGTTCAAGGTCAGCTTGGTCCACACAGTAAGTTCTAGATCACCTAAGGCTACAGAGTGAGACCCAGTCTCAAGAACAAGAACAAAAGAAAGTCTCTCACTGGTCTAAGACTCACATGTTAGGCAAGACTGGCTGTCCAGCCA